TGTCCAGGTCTGCAGCCCCTTTCAGATTAAAGTATTAACTTGGTAATCGTAAAAATTTAAAACATTTCAAACACTTTTATTTATCACAATAATATTTTTCATAATATAAACAGTACGGAGTTTTCAATATTGCGGAAGCTTAACAATCATAATCACAAACATAATTTATTTATGTTCTTTAATTCAAAATCATCACATCCATTCCGACAATCTCGCCTCCGTCTGCATCCAGGATCACGACACTTCATTAACCTGCGTGTAGCAAATAGAACATACTACACGCTCAGCGTTGAAGCTGAGTAAGCATATCTAATGCATCGAACATCCATATAAACTGAATCTAAATTCATAATCAAATCATTTGATATCATGCACATAATGTTCAGTTCAGTTCAGATAATCAATAATTATTAAAAATTATTCATCATGCATTATTCAACATTTATATTCACATTCAATGTTCATCAGTCATTCATAATAATTGCAATATTCAATTCAATATTCATCATTCAATATTTACTCATATTCAATATTCAATATTCAATATTTAACATTCAACAATATCCTTAAACTATTATTAGTCTAAGGCCAATCACTTTAATATTTGTCAACCCTTAAACGAATTCTAGTTTAAATAATTAAACTATATTCCAGTATAAAATATTCTTAAATAATCCTTAAGCTAGGCCTAGTTTAAGATAAAAGGGTTTTGAAAATCTTAAACTTACCTTCACTTAAGGCCAACCAAAAACCGACAGCGTAGTGTTCACTGTTGGGTGGGTGGTACCCCCAAACGAGTAGGTACTCAAGTTTGGTTCTTGGATCCCGTACGTACGTTTTAACCCTAGCCATCGGGGTTCATACCCGCAAGGCCTAACTTAAATAGGTATATCTTAGAGGTCTTCTAGATACCTTTTAAATCAACATTAATATGGGTGCATCTTAGAGGTCTTCTAGATACCCTTAACAATACATTTTATTTTCACAATCATCAATATATTCATTATGATTTAATCATTCACAATTATTATTTTTAATCAGAATATTTATCAAGATTCAATCATCATAATAATCAATCAATAATCATTACCATAATCATCAATCAACATAATATTCAATAATAATTAGCAGCCTAGCATCGAGTGTTAACACCCTAACTTACCGTCATGCATCACATAACATTTTTATTTGTTAAAAACATCATTTTTATTATGGTAAATCATTTTTTCAATGATCATAATCAATTGGTGGATTTTAGAGCATATATTTTCCGAATATTTTTGGAACAGGATCTCGACTTAAGAAAAATCGATTTTTATTTTTAGAAATAATCAATTAATACCTAAAAATCGATTTTTATATTTAAAATAATCCATTAATAGCTAAAAATCGATTTTTATATTTTAAATAATCCATTAATTACTAAAAATCGATTTTTACAATTTAAATAATCAATTAATTAATTTTAATCGATTTTTACAATATAAATAATCGATTAATTCATAAAAAATCGATTTTTACAATTTAAATAATCCATTAATTCATAATAATCGATTTTTACAATTTAAATAATCAATTAATT